AAAGTAAAATTTTTTTTTAGTGTCTTTGTTATTCGCCTGTTGGCTAGTGGAAATGTGTCGAGCCAAGCTTTGGTCTTTTGTGATAAAAAGAAAATGGAAGTTTTGGTGTTCAACTGTAGTTCATGATAGCACACACGCACCGAAAGATTATATTATATATGTATGTGTATGTGTATGTGACTGTGTATCTATACATGTTTATAATATTCCAATTTCATATATATAGTTTTTTCGTTTCTGAATGATGTTGCGTTCGCTTTCGATTCTTCTCTGCAACCAGCCAACGTTTATGAAGGTCTACACAGGTTAGGGTTTCGATTTGGTGTTTAGAGAGCTGGAAATTGAGCAGGGAAGTTCCTTCAAGTGGCTTTCAAGGTTCGACTGCTAGTTTCTTCTTTCTTCAGATATATTTTTGTATATATATGTATACACATGTTTACGTACATGTGTATGTTGATGTATCCTCTGTTTCACTGTTTGGTTGCCAAGAAATCTTATAGAAAAGAAAAGGGAAGGAAAAGAGGACAAATTAAGAAACCTTAGCTAATGATGACATCTTCATGTGGGAAAACTAGTTGATTGCTATGCTAATTCCTAGTTTTGTTTTTTTTAATAACAACGCTAAAGCAAGCCTGATTTCCATGATAAACTTATTCTTTCCTTTGCTTTCTGCACGACCAAACTGGGTTTTTTTTTTTTTTTGGTAGCTTTTTCTTCTTATTTGTTTGCTGCAACAGAATTAAATGGAGTTGTTATTGCTGGTTTGGAGAAAAAATATTGTTGAGTTTCTGAGATATCAAGTTCAATTGAAGAAGATAGTATCGGTTAATTTATGAAGAGTTTAGGCAAAATCCAGTGTTTTGGTAGGCAGGCTATGAGTATGTGGAAATTTGTATTACTTGAGCCCGCAACAACATGGTGAAAAGCCATGTGTTCGGATGGTTTACCTATAACTGCTTCCCTATGCTTTGCCACTTTTCCTATTAGGCACTTAATTGGATTTTTTTTATATGCTTTCCTGGTGGGGATGTTTCACATGCTCAAATTGAATTTGTTTGACCTTCTCATGATAATTCCATTGTGATGAAAAATATATGGAATTATGTGCTGCCCATTTGTAGAATTGATTGTTTAAGAGTACTATGATGTATGAGGTTTTGGAAAGTTTCCTTGCAATTTGAAGTTGTGTTGGAAAGAGGATGAAGAATTGTTGTCTTTTTATTTATTCTGGCTCTTGAAGTAGGAATCTGATTTGGATGGAAAAATGAATTTTATGCCAACACTATGCACCAGAGCCATAACTTGTTTGATGGATGATTTTGGAGATTTTTATAGGCTATTNAAGAAAATGGAAGTTTTGGTGTTCAACTGTAGTTCATGATAGCACACACGCACCGAAAGATTATATTATATATGTATGTGTATGTGTATGTGACTGTGTATCTATACATGTTTATAATATTCCAATTTCATATATATAGTTTTTTCGTTTCTGAATGATGTTGCGTTCGCTTTCGATTCTTCTCTGCAACCAGCCAACGTTTATGAAGGTCTACACAGGTTAGGGTTTCGATTTGGTGTTTAGAGAGCTGGAAATTGAGCAGGGAAGTTCCTTCAAGTGGCTTTCAAGGTTCGACTGCTAGTTTCTTCTTTCTTCAGATATATTTTTGTATATATATGTATACACATGTTTACGTACATGTGTATGTTGATGTATCCTCTGTTTCACTGTTTGGTTGCCAAGAAATCTTATAGAAAAGAAAAGGGAAGGAAAAGAGGACAAATTAAGAAACCTTAGCTAATGATGACATCTTCATGTGGGAAAACTAGTTGATTGCTATGCTAATTCCTAGTTTTGTTTTTTTTAATAACAACGCTAAAGCAAGCCTGATTTCCATGATAAACTTATTCTTTCCTTTGCTTTCTGCACGACCAAACTGGGTTTTTTTTTTTTTTTGGTAGCTTTTTCTTCTTATTTGTTTGCTGCAACAGAATTAAATGGAGTTGTTATTGCTGGTTTGGAGAAAAAATATTGTTGAGTTTCTGAGATATCAAGTTCAATTGAAGAAGATAGTATCGGTTAATTTATGAAGAGTTTAGGCAAAATCCAGTGTTTTGGTAGGCAGGCTATGAGTATGTGGAAATTTGTATTACTTGAGCCCGCAACAACATGGTGAAAAGCCATGTGTTCGGATGGTTTACCTATAACTGCTTCCCTATGCTTTGCCACTTTTCCTATTAGGCACTTAATTGGATTTTTTTTATATGCTTTCCTGGTGGGGATGTTTCACATGCTCAAATTGAATTTGTTTGACCTTCTCATGATAATTCCATTGTGATGAAAAATATATGGAATTATGTGCTGCCCATTTGTAGAATTGATTGTTTAAGAGTACTATGATGTATGAGGTTTTGGAAAGTTTCCTTGCAATTTGAAGTTGTGTTGGAAAGAGGATGAAGAATTGTTGTCTTTTTATTTATTCTGGCTCTTGAAGTAGGAATCTGATTTGGATGGAAAAATGAATTTTATGCCAACACTATGCACCAGAGCCATAACTTGTTTGATGGATGATTTTGGAGATTTTTATAGGCTATTGACAAAAGCTTTTATCATCGGTCTTTTTTGGGGGTGTTCCTCCTATGCATCTGCAATTCTCTCTTCTTTTTTTCGGGTGTGGAAACTGAGAGGAAAAATATTTTATCAAGATAGGAGACAAAATGTATTTGATTGAGTGCATTCATGATGGCCTCCCCATTCCACCATACTCAAGAGTGAAATATTCTGTTTACATTAAGTCTCACCCTTGCTGAAGGCCATGAGGGCACTAAAAATGGGAAGGTCCTCTCTTGGCACATTTCTAAAGACAGTAGCCTTAAAATTAAAGTGGATGCTTCATAATGGAGTTACCATATGTTTTTTATTTTTACTTTTTTCTCTTAATGTTTATGGAATAGAAAACAAATAGACAAAGAGAACTTTTATGCTGTTTGATTCTATAACATTCATGCATGAGTTACAGAAGAGTTTTCTAGGGAGAAGCTTGTTAAAATAATTCATTGTGGATTGTTCGAAATTTAGTGATAGGAATATCAATGCCTTGAGCAATGCAAGCTACATTTCTTTAGTGATTTCCTTTCATCATCAATTTTCTTAAATGAAGATGGTGTCTGGAACTATTTGTTTTAAAAACTAAAAGTCCTGTTTGTGTGAAAATCATTATTGGTATGAATGAACCATGTTTGGAGGTAATTTGACATTTTTTTGTTTGCATTGGTCTCATAATGATTGCCAATGAGATTTGCCTTCTATGTCCCCCAATCCTTGTCTCATGATATTCTTTGATTCCCCCCTCAGCTGCCCGATTTGAAACAAAAAGTGAAATAAGAGTAAAACTGAAAAGAAATTATGGGTAATATTAGATAAATACGTACGTTATGTTCATGGAGTAAAGTTTCATTTTAATCCATAGTTTTGCTCAATTAGGAAACAAATATGTTTTAGAAACAAAATGATAATGAAGAAAAAAATGTGAATTTTGATTCCGAAACATCTTAAGACATTCTGAAACATCTCGAAACTCATCAAAAGATAAGGAATCTCGATTTTTTAATTACTAGTTCACTTCGGTTTTCACTCTAACCGAAATTTTTCGATGGTTTAATCTGAGACAAATCAAAATTTTGATCCTTTTTTACACCAATCAAAAAGCTAAAGGTTCTTAGTTCAAACTTCAAACAATACCAATAACACCTGCCTCACATTTTTTTTGAAGATGATTGGCATTGCAAGTCCCTCTTGGTGGTGTTAAGTTAGAGAGATTCTCCAAATAATGTAGGAAAGGCTGCCCGAGGGAAGAGATTTTCTGCCTTTAGTTCTTCATGGACAAATTAGGCTCTCAATTGGAATAAAGACTCTCTACAAGCACACAAATATAATCAAAATAAGAACTTATACACTTTAGAATTAAGTAGGTCTTGTCAATTATTTACTATAGAGGCTATTAGCTTTGTAACTCCCAATGCCATCGATGTTCTAGTCTCGGAAACAAGCTTTCTTAGCTGAAGTAACTAGATGCTCCTTTAGAGAATTTAGTCATTCTAGAGCAGGTGATATCTTTTCCTAAGGTGATTAAGGAGTTATGGAAGATTTGGTTAGATGGGGACTAAGAAACTATTCACTTGTGCTTCCATTTTCAGTTCAAGTAAATTTTGTCCTAATTGATAAATTACCTATGACATTAAGATTTGTCCTTCGGTTAGTTCATTGATAAAATGCTTGAGTTGTAAGTGTGTAAATGTGGATTTGAGTCTGAAAGCATCCATTCTGTGAAGGTTTATGCAATATGTGAGATTTGTTTTCAATCTATTTGTCGAAATATAAATATTTAAATTATATTCTCTCTAATAACTTAAACTTTTTGAGCAGATGATGTTTAACATGATATCAGAGTAGGAGGTTTTGAGTTCGAATCTCGCTGCCACCCTAATTATTGAAAAGATTTTTACATGCTAAATCTAAAGTCTAGCTTGCATGTTAGGGTGTGTGTTGAAGTATAACTACTTAAGTTACACCGTCTTTAATAGTTTAAGGTTTTGAGTAAATGGTTGTTTAATAATATGGTTGGTAGCAACCTGCAAACAATTTTGCCTAGTTGGCTCAAATATTTTTGTAAACTTATGGTAAATATGAATTAAAGGCTTGACTTTACTGATTTGAACCAAGAATATTATGTCGACAATTCTATAAATCTATTTTGCTTGTAATATTTTTGGTGAAGTCCACTGTTTTAAACTTTGGCTTTATTAATTGATAATTCTCCTCTCTACTATTCTCCTTGCCACGTTTCCCATTTAGTTTGGCCCTTTTAATCTTAATTTTGCAAGTTAAATAGGTCTTTTGTATGATTTACCATCAGCTTCCAATCCTCAATTTTTATATCTATGATTACATAATGATACTTGTAGTTGATTGAGTTACGTCCATTCTCAGTTCAAAGAGCATGAATTCCTCATCCACACAGTTTGCGACCTCAAGGAGGATGGCCATATATGAACCAATCCACCCGTTTAGCATGTGGACAGACTTCAAAGGCAATGGCTATCCAAACACAGTTGCGTCAACAATGGTAGAGGTGGACACAAACCTAGACAACCAGGTGCAAACTTTTGAGCTTCTTCCCCTTGTTTTTTTTTTCTTTTTGCATAATTTTTCCGTACTCTTCTGATTGCATGCCCCAATTAAATTTTTCCTCATAATGATTCTAGTCAGAGGATACTTCACACGGAACACGGGAGCAGGAAGCGACAAAACCTGTTGATAAGGTAAAAACATCACATCATTGCCTAATGACTTCTCTCAATGTCTCTCATTTGCTTTCATTTATTGATGTGCTTTTATTTTAAAATGTCTGTTGATTGTTAGGATTATGTCAATTTGAGGATAACATGTGTTAGATTACGACTCTATTTTAGATGTCCTTGTTGGTGTACCATCTATTTTGAAGTAACGATTATTCATTTGAGACATTGACTTGAAACTATTGCTTTGAGTGTAATTGCCTTTTCAGATGTATTTTTAGGATACCAAGTTTTTGGTGCCTCAGAATTTTCTTGTTCTCTTTTTCTTTATCCAGTTTGTTGCCTTTTTCTTCTTTATAAGTCCCTTGCGTTTATGTGATACACTATGCTCTACTTTGAACAAGATAAGTTGGTAACATTGAAACGACTTTAACATTCCTAGTTCTTGAATCCTCTTTTACTAGTTTTTACTCATATTTTCATGTAAACCTGTCTATAGCATTCTATGAAGCATGGATACTTCAATCGGAGTGACGTATTCGTATCCGATACGTATCTGATATCGATGCTCGTCAGATTCTCGTAGATACATTCTGAATATATCAAATAATTGATAAAATTTTTATCATTGTTGGATACACCTGAAATATGTATATCTCCAAGGTGGATACATTCTCCTTATACTTGGTGAGGTAGGTTTGTGTAGAAACTGTGAATCACATAAATGGGGATTCTTTGTTCCAATATGTTCATTTGGACATGCATCACATATGTCACAAGATTTGTCAATTCTTTATAATGTGCTTGTCTTGAATAAGGAGTTTTATGGCTTATGTCAAAGCCAATAAATCTATTATACTTAAATGTTGAGTAAAAGCTGAAAACTGTCGAAGGGTGACACATGTTCAGGTCTAGAATTACATAGAATATTGAATTCAAAATTTCATTAAATAGTCCCTATGTCAACAACATAAATTGTTTTAGTTTGGAGGTATTTTGTATCTTAATCCCTTATATCCCTAGTATTGTAATATCTTCCTATAGTATATACAAACGTATCTAAGCCGTATCCGTATCCTACTTTTTAAGATTTTGCCATATCGTCCTATTGTGTCATGCCTGTATCTATATCTGTGCTTCCTAGATAGCGCCCCACGATGCAAATCTATATTATACAAAGTTAGACTAAGCTAATATTTGAAATATGTGAAGCATATTTGCAAATAATTTCAAAGGTTAGGACTATACCGAATCTATGCCTTCCAGACCTCCATTACTGGTTGTTGTTTTCATATGAAGCATATTGGCAACACGAGATGAATTGAATATGTCACTGCTTTGCTCATTAGTTGAAGTGCCAAAGGTGATTGCTCTGCCAGTAAGCCAAACTATTCTTGTTATATACGGTTCACTGTGAAAGTGCTTAGTTTCTTTGAAAAAAATGACACAGGTATCATACCGACTTTCTCTCAACTTATATATTCTTGCCAATTTCTGGTGAAAAAACATGAGACCCTAAAATGGTGTTCCTCTTGGAGCTTAACTTGCTAAACTGCCCTTAACATTTATATTTTTGGGAATTTGCCTTAAAAGACAAAACCAAGTGAGACTTGGTTAAAGTTTCTCTTCACTTGCATAAACACCTCCTAAATTCCAATTTGAAAATATGCCAATCATATTTGGCTGTTTTTTTCCATTTAATCAACTTAACAGAACCCTATTACTTAAACATTTTCTGATGTTTCCTTGATATGTCTTTATTGCATGCTAATATTCCAGGTAACAAATTTCCTTCTGGTAGAAGGAAGACAGGGAGGGTATGAGTTAAATGGAAAAGAAACTGTTTTGTGTACAGAGTGGTTTAAAACCTACAACTTGAGGTTTCTATTCATTGTTGATGGCTTGAAGCTTTTGAAAAGATACATATATGTGGCAGCATGCCGCATGATATTGCAGCAGCTACATGAAAACTTGCCATTGCAAACACTATAGTGGTTCTTCTTGTAAAGTTGCAGTAAGGTAGAAATATAACTCAAGTCTAGATTTTAACATGGCGGTCAGCAGGATAATTGTTCATTATTCGTGTGTGGTGCTTGAATCTTTACGATATCTTCTCTTACAATAAGTTTCAATCCATATTTCTCAGTTTCTCACTATCAGGCAATAGGGCTGGTAGGCTTATACTTTTCTGTGCTAATGGTATGCTAAGGTGTATTATTATTCTGACTCTTTTGAAATTCCTCTTCTTTTGAAAATTTTAATTATACTTTTGTCAACATTCAAATATCTGTAATTAATGTTGTCAGAATACATCCATTTTTTTCTGATCAAATCCTGAGTTTCATAAACAGGTACTGAGACGTCTTGCACAAAACCGTGAGGCTGCTCGTAAAAGTCGTTTGCGTAAAAAAGTAAGGAAGAAGTACCATACCATTGAGATAGATGCGTGTATATGAACCATGGATTATCAGTGTTGCAATTATCACTTACTAAAAAAATAAACAATTGCGTAATTTTCATCAATCTTTTGTTACCAAGTCCTTAATACACTGACCTCATCTGAGTTTTGTTTTGTAGGCCTACGTTCAGCAGTTAGAAACTAGTCGGTTGAAACTGATGCAGTTAGAACAAGAGCTTGAACAAACTAGACCACATGTAAGGGGAAAATTGGTTTTCCTTTTACACTTTATTTGATCAATTTTGGTACTGACGAAACAGGATATTTTCCTTTTCCTTTTCCCTTTTTTTTTTCTTCTGATAGGAAGAATTCTAAAAATCAAGAAAAAATGATTTTGCTGCAGGGTGGGTATATAGGTGGTGGATTAGATGCTACTCATCTAAGTTGCTCTGGAGCTGTAAACTCAGGTTTGTAGATTGATATGCCACCAGCATTATTATTCTGTTGAAACTTCTCATGCACATACATTGCTAGGACAATTGATATTTTGTTTCGTGCGTGATGCATTTGAAAATTATTTTATGAATTTGAAGTATTAGATAAATTTCTTAGTTTTCTTTCATTTGCTCCTTCAAGACGTTTTATGGATGCTTCATAGTTAGGTTTCTCCTGTTGAGCATTTTGTTCAATCAGCTTGTAGGTTATAGTTAATTTACTGGTAACAGCTTTGTGCTATAGATTCTGTGTCTCGGTCACTTGAGCTGTCTAATTTCTTTTTGCCACATCATGTTTATCCTTTGATATTTATAATTGCCCATTGTTGATTTTTGATTGGACGTGTTAGTTAAAATCTGGCGTATAACTTGCAAGTGAAACAATCTACTGAAACAAAAGGTATATCTTCTAGAAGGCATCCTCTTTCCTGTGGCAGCTATGGAACTTCAATTGATTTATTCTTCTAAAGAGAAAAAAAAATGTGATGTTTATTTCAAAGTTTTACCGTGTAGATTCTTTTATTCTTGCTATTAAGTATAAAAGCCATAAAAGCAAGATGACAGGCTATTGAAACCTCAAAGGACACTAAATTATCATCGAAAATTTGGCTTTAATCAGAACAAATTTTCAACGTGGGAGTTGTTGAGGGTTATTTATTATGTGGTTAACACCTGCCGATGTAACTTAAAACAGTATGGTTATGCACTTTATTTTTGCATGGGTTCTATTTATCAATTGTTGTTTAAACAAAACATTCATTTTTCTCATGCTACTCTTCAAATACTTTTGCTATTGTCCATCTGAGTTTGAACCCATCAAATTTTTCATAAATCTATATGCCGGCAAAACAAACCTGTTAGTCAATTGGGTGTATATAAGCTAACGGCCTACACGTGTTCAACATTTAAATTTATTTGACAGTGTGCTCTGACAAATATTCAAGTCAATGGAGAACATCGATAGTTAGTGTTGAGAGTATTATTNTGCAGGGTGGGTATATAGGTGGTGGATTAGATGCTACTCATCTAAGTTGCTCTGGAGCTGTAAACTCAGGTTTGTAGATTGATATGCCACCAGCATTATTATTCTGTTGAAACTTCTCATGCACATACATTGCTAGGACAATTGATATTTTGTTTCGTGCGTGATGCATTTGAAAATTATTTTATGAATTTGAAGTATTAGATAAATTTCTTAGTTTTCTTTCATTTGCTCCTTCAAGACGTTTTATGGATGCTTCATAGTTAGGTTTCTCCTGTTGAGCATTTTGTTCAATCAGCTTGTAGGTTATAGTTAATTTACTGGTAACAGCTTTGTGCTATAGATTCTGTGTCTCGGTCACTTGAGCTGTCTAATTTCTTTTTGCCACATCATGTTTATCCTTTGATATTTATAATTGCCCATTGTTGATTTTTGATTGGACGTGTTAGTTAAAATCTGGCGTATAACTTGCAAGTGAAACAATCTACTGAAACAAAAGGTATATCTTCTAGAAGGCATCCTCTTTCCTGTGGCAGCTATGGAACTTCAATTGATTTATTCTTCTAAAGAGAAAAAAAAATGTGATGTTTATTTCAAAGTTTTACCGTGTAGATTCTTTTATTCTTGCTATTAAGTATAAAAGCCATAAAAGCAAGATGACAGGCTATTGAAACCTCAAAGGACACTAAATTATCATCGAAAATTTGGCTTTAATCAGAACAAATTTTCAACGTGGGAGTTGTTGAGGGTTATTTATTATGTGGTTAACACCTGCCGATGTAACTTAAAACAGTATGGTTATGCACTTTATTTTTGCATGGGTTCTATTTATCAATTGTTGTTTAAACAAAACATTCATTTTTCTCATGCTACTCTTCAAATACTTTTGCTATTGTCCATCTGAGTTTGAACCCATCAAATTTTTCATAAATCTATATGCCGGCAAAACAAACCTGTTAGTCAATTGGGTGTATATAAGCTAACGGCCTACACGTGTTCAACATTTAAATTTATTTGACAGTGTGCTCTGACAAATATTCAAGTCAATGGAGAACATCGATAGTTAGTGTTGAGAGTATTATTATTATATATTGTTATCATTTAATGTGGTTTTAATAAGTATACCTTTCTAAGGGTATACTAGTCTTTTGTGTTTTATTAGATAACTGTAAATACAAATTGAGTGTGAGAGGTAGGGTAAGTTAGCCTCCTCTCTGTTTCTCTCATATTATGTTCATTCTCTCAATTTTTTTATACTTAAAAAGGTATCAGAGAATTATTGATCCAAAATTTTCTCTGAAATTTATTTTCCGATATTAAAAATTTGATTCAGATTCTTGTTCTTCTCTTCTTCTTTCTTTCCCTCTCTCTTTCCTTTTCCTCAACCCACAACCATGGTCTAGTGTCTTGGGTGGTGGTTGTGATGGCTTCCAGTTGTGCCATCGTTTTGTTTGTGCGTGCCTATGTTGGAGGTGAGGTGTCATAATTGGTTCATGTGTTGATAATCGATTTGGGTATTATTTTGTCACTGGAGACCTTATTGATTGTGTTGTGGTGGTTGCCGGTGGCCTCACATGTGCCATTGTCGATGTTGGAGTTGTCTGTGGTTCATGCTTATGCGTTGGGTTGAGATTCTATAATCAAAGGCTTTGTTGGATGTGTCGTGGTGGTTGCTGGAGGTCTGGTGTTCAGCTGTGATGCTATCGAAGGTTTGGTGTGGCGTCGTTGTACTGCGCTGTCATTTCTAGGATTCCATTAAACCCCTTCCCGTAGAGAAGACTAGGAGACCTCGGGTCGTCCCTTCGGGTTATAATATATACTTGGTTTACGGTCTCTATTAAGTGACCCAGTCCAATCCTATTTGGACCCAGTAGTGGCCCATTGTCCATTTTAGCCCAATTTGATCATGTCCACTTCAGGCCCAAGCCACTAAGCCCATTTTGGTCCAGTTAAGGCCAAACTAGGTCCAGCCCAAACTAGGTCACCTCATTTGGTTCTGTGAAGGTTCAAACCGATTTAGGTCCAGATAAGTCCGGTTCAATTGATTTTAACACCGATTCAGTCTGATTCTGTGGGTTTTCAGCAGGTTTCTGCCAATTCAGAGGTAGTTCTAGACCCGATTTAGTCTGGTTCAGGTGGATTTATAACCGATTCAGTCCTATTTCGTCTGTTTCCAGTAGATTTTGTTGTTCCCAGCTAGTTCAGAGGCATTTTCACACCTGGTTTAGCTTTTGTTGCCACTGGTTCAGCTTTTCCTTCCATAGATCTATGATTTTGCACTATGCAAGTGACGGTTTTTGCATTATTTGGTCTGTCTCCAAATCTGCGGTATTACTATGGAACCCACGACTGATACTCCATCTCTTGCTCCAACGTTGTTGCCTCCCACACTTTCTTCGACTACTCTACTTAATTCTTCCATGACTTTTGTCGAGCTCAATGGGACTAATTATGTTTTATAGTCCCGCTTGGTTCAAGTTTTTTTTAAAGGTAAAGGCATTAAAAGGTATTTGGTGGGCAAGAAACCCAAGGAAAGTGACCCTTGATTTAATTAATTGAAACAAGAGTATGCATATATTATTTCCTTACTATTGAATAACATTGAGTTTCGAATCAACTCTACATTGCTTTATCTTGATACTGCCAAGGAAATTTAGGACCATTTGACACTTATGTATTTTGGCATAGGTAATTTACTCGTGCTTATGAGGTTTGCAAATAATATTTTCGCATTAAGTAGGGTACTCTAAGCTTAAAAGACTATTTATTATTCCTAAGTTAGGGAAGTCTATGAGGAATCACGGATTTACCACCCATTCACCACTAATTCTACACTTCTACAGCAACAATGTGAGGATATGAATGTTGTTCATTTTTTTGTTGGTTTGAAGCCTGAGTATAAGTCTATCCGTGCTCAGATTTGGGATAGCTTTAGCCTCCTGTCTCTTCTTGAGGTCTTTTCCAGGTTACAGCGTGCTACTTTGTCTGTTGGCCATTCGACTTCAAGCATTGATCATGATTCTTTTGTTGACCGCTCAGCTCTTGTTGCCTCTATTGGCAACAGTAGTAGTATTCGAGGTGGTCGTATCAATCGTGGTGGTCGAGGGGCCTGTACTAGAGGGCGTACTAATATTAGTTTATGTATTCATTGTGGTCGTATTAGCCACACTGTTGATTATTGTTGGGATTTACATAGAAAGCCATGGTGCTTCTAATCAAGTCTCCTATTAGGACGATACTTCCTCATTCCCTGCACCATCATCTCGCTTGGTTCCTCTCGATTTTTACTTAGTTACTATTACACAAGAGGAGTATGTTTAGGTCCTGTCTCAGCACCAGGCAGTCCCATCTTCATACACTATTACTTTTGCTCAGTCACATACCACTTCCACTTGTTTACTGTCACCCGTAGTCCCTAGATCATAGACTTTACCCCTTTTGATCACATGACGGGTTCGTTTGGTGTCTTTTTTACTTATCATTTTGCTATTTCTCCTTACAGTGTTATTCTTACTAATGATACTTCTACTAAAGTTTTAGGTTTGGGGACTAATCAATTGAGTCCTAAAATATCCTTATCATGTGTTTTATTTTTCATCAGTTTCTCTTTAGTTTACTTTCTATTAGCAAAGATTACCCACTCGCTTAATTGTTCAGTAATTTTTTATCCTTCTTATTGTATTTTTTAGAATCTGTAGAAGTAGAAGAAGATTGGTATGGGACATGAAGCTGGTGGCCTCTATTATTTTGATGTTAATCCTTCTCCTCGCACATTTCAGGCCTTGCCATCTCCCTTTTGGTGACATTATCATCTTGGACATTCTGCTTTCCAAAACTTGAAGCATCAAGTTCCTAACCTTAGTTATGTGTCATCTGTGTCTTGTGATGTTTGTCAACTTAGTAAGCATAATTATGTGTTCTTTCAGTCTAGTGTCAATAATTATATGTTTAGTCCATTTGAATTGGTACATTCTGATGCATAGAGTCCAATATAGAATATTTAATCTAATAAATTTACTTATTTTGTTTCGTCTCTGGATGATTATTCTCATGTGACTTGGTTATTTTTAATGAAAGCTCATTCTAAATTGTTTTCTATATTTGAGACATTCTGTAAAGAAATAAAAATTCAATATGGTTGTCGTATTCGTATTTTGCATTCTAATAATGCTTGTGAATACAACTCTGATCCTTTTTCTACTCATCTTTGTAAAAATGACATTATTTATCAGTCTTCATATACCTACACATCTCAACAAAATGGTGTAGCTGAACGTAAGAATTGTTATCTATTGGAAGTGACTCGTGCACTTTTATTTCAGATGAATGTTACTCGATGCTTTTGGAGAGATGTTGTTCTTATTGTTTGTCATCTCACTAATTGTATGCTCTCTTCTATGTTAAATGGACAAAGTTCATATTCCGTCATTTTTTCTAATTCTCTTTTATTTTTCATACATCCTAAGGTTTTTAGGTGTGTATGTTATGTTCACAATTTGGATCCTGAATTTGATAAACTTGACCTTCGTGTTACAAAATGTGTCTTTCTTGGTAGTTCTCACACCCCTACTTTACAAATATTTCACTATTGCTGATGTCACCTTCATAGAATCGGTCTCATATTTCCTAGCTCTTGTTCCTCCTCTGGATCTTTATTTTGGGCAATCACCTCTGCCCCCATCTTTTTCCTTACCCTTTGTTACTCCATTGCCTACTTTGATACCACCTGCTTCCTCCATTGTCCCGCTCCGTGTATACTCTTGTCGTCTGAGATCATCGACTGAAGTGCCCTCCTATTTTGTCCTTCCGCTATTTCTAACTCTTTATCCATTGCTCTTCGGAAAGGTACTTAGTCTTGTATTACTAACCATCATATTTCGAATTTTGTTTCTTATAATGTATTGTCTCCTACCTTCTCTTATTTTACATCGCAGCTATCTACTATTTTTATTCTTAAGACATTACAGGGTCTGTTATTTGATCTGGGTTGGAGGAAAGCTATGTAAGTGGAGATGAATGTCTTGTATCATAATGGGATTAGAGATCTTATTTCTTTACCCCCTAGTAGAAGGACTATTGATTGTCGGTGGGTATATACCGTCAAATTTAACCCCAATGGTTCTGTTGAGCTCGTCAAAGGCTTCCTTATTGCCATAGGCTTTATTCAAACCTATGACGTTGATACATGGAGCAGGGTTTGTTGCTCAGGGGAGTATCATAAGAGTATGTGTCGACTAAAGAAATCTTTGTATAGTTTAAAGCAATCATTGAGGGCATGGTTTGGTAAGTTTTTAGAGGCAATTTTAGAGTTTGGTTTTCTAAGATGTCAAACAGACCATTATGTGTTCCACATACACATTGATGTGGGATACTTTCTCGTGGTTTATGTGGATGATATTGTAATTATTGGTAATGATTCTGAGAGTATTGCAAAGTTAAAAATCTTCTAGTAGGACCAATTTTATATTAAAAACATAAGAAAACTCAGGTATTTATTGGGTATTAAAGTTGCTGGATCTATGTAGGGCATTTGTTTGTCCTAATGAAAATATGTACTTAACATACTAGAGTAAGTTGGCTTGTTGGATGGTTGACCAATTGATGTTCCTATGGATTCGAATCAAAAGTTGTTAATGGATGAGTGTATTGTTTGAACATCTAGGTCGGTGTCACAAGTTGGTTGGGAAGCTAAATTATTTCACTATTACCCGATCAGATATTGTTTATGCAGTTAATGTTGTGAGTCTGTTTATGAGATGCCTTAAAGTACCATATTGGTATGCAGTCATTCACATTCTTCGATATCTCAAACGTGCTCTTGGACTTAGGTTGTTATGTTGAGCTAATGGGCATCTTAGAGTTGAAGATTTTATAGATATTGATTGGGCTGGGTCTCCCGCGGATCGAATATTAACTACTGATTATTGTACGTTCTTGGAAGGTAACATTATTACGTGGAAAAGTAAAAAAATAAATAGTGGTAGCACGGTCCAGTGTTGAAACTGAGCATAGATCAATGACACATATTAGTAGTGAGTTGAAATAGTTACTACACTTTCTTTAATAAATTAGTTTTCTAGTTCAACTTCTCTTAAAGTTGTTCTGTCATTATCAGACTGCTCTTCATATTGCAGTCAATCTTATATTCTATGAGAGGATCACACATTTTAAGTTGATTGTCACTTTATTCGAGACAAAATATTAGACGGAGGTATTTCAACACCATTTGTGAAATTTAAGTATCAGCTTGCAGATATGTTTACCAAAGCATTGAGTCGCACTTGTCTTACAACCATTTGTTCCAAGTATAAATTATATGATATATATATATACTCCAGCTTGAGGAGAAGTGTTAAGAGTATTATTATTATATATTGTTATCATTTAATATGGTTGTAATAAGTATACCTTTCTAAAGGTATACTAGTCTTTTGTGTTTTATTAGGTAACTATAAATATAAGTTGAGTGTGAGAGGCAGGGTAAGTGAGCCTCCTTTTTTTGTCTCTCATAGTGTGTTCATTCTCCCCATTCCTTTAAATTCAATAGTTAGTAACACCAACATTTGCACACTTGTGATGATAAAAATATTGGTCTTCAACCTGTCCACGAATGCGATTTACCAGAATTTAGACGATCAGTTATGACACAGCGCTGAAACCTATCGTTGGCTATTAATTTTCGTATCTGATTCTCTGATGTACTTTATGTGACCTTTGTGCTTCTATTGCTTGCAATAATTTATTGCTCTAAGTATAATCCTGTTCTTTGTTCTTTCTAGTTATTGTATCCTGCAATTAGCCCCCTTTGCCTGCAGGTGCTGCTGCATTTGAGATAGAGTATGGACACTGGGTGGAGGAGCAAAGTAGACAAATTGATGATTTGAGGAATGCTTTAAATTCACATGTAGGTGATATAGAGCTCCAGATACTTGTCGATAGTGGCATGGGCCACTATTTTGATCTCTTCCGCATGAAATCAACTGCTGCAAAGGCTGATGTTTTCTATCTTATGTCTGGTATGTGGAAAACATCAGCTGAACGTTTTTTCTTGTGGATTGGAGGGTTTCGTCCTTCAGAGCTTCTAAAGGTGATGCATGGTTTGATTCACGTTATACTTCAAAATTCTTAAAAGGAAAAATGCAGCATTCAGGAATCTGAAATTTGTCTTTAACTCAAGGCAAATATCTCTTTCTGAAAGAAAGTAGTCTTTGCCCTAATAAATTGCACCTGGGTTTCTCCTACGTATATTTTCCAATCCGTTTCTAAGTTTCTCATTAAACATACTGGGTGTCATAAAAGGTGGAGTTGAATCATTGAATTTCCTGGAGTCTGAACGTATATATGAATTTTACAAGTGCTCAATAGTTTTGCACACATTCTATGTTATTTGTACCATCATCCGTTGCATTTTCTTCATCCTATAATTTATATTATATTTGCTCCCTAAAAACCTGGTCAAGATGTTTTTGTCTTCTAGAACTAATCTGCAATTCACCAGTACCTTACCAAAGAATCAATATGCTAATAACTAGTTAATTGAATGATGCTGTGTGTATGCATACACTTGAACTTCACATCTTTATGTGTGTGTGCCCCCTAGAACATGCACTTTGTGTACTGTGTTCAACATGTATTAATATTTGATTATTATAATATGTCAAATCGAATTGATAATTTGAATGCTTAGCAGAAAGAAAACGAAAATGGATGAGTAACTAGTACATGTAAGCTTGGCCTGCACTTAGACTTTATATACCACTAAAATCAGTGTTCAACGTTATCTAAGGGCCAAGCATGGCCCACTGGAAACCCAACTTATGATTAATTTCCTATTGGGAATTCTCTCGTCCATGTACGCATATTAACACACAGGTTTTGGGTAAACAAGAATATCAGATGTTCTTTTCCATGTAGTTGAACAAGTCCAGAAAATTTTTTAATTTTTTTTTTGTCCAGAAAGTAGTTGAACAAATCACAGATTATGTTTTCCTGTTTCGGTATTTTTCTTGTTCTTCAAACCCATTCTACTAAAGATAAAGCTTATTTGTTGTTTTCTGTTCGCCATAGGTTCTTGTGCCACAGCTTGACCCTTTAACAGACAGCCAACATTTTGAGGTTTATAACCTTAGACAATCATGTCAGCAAGCTGAAGATGCTCTGTCACAAGGAATGGATAGACTCCAATCAATTGTGGCCGAAGCAGTAGCAGCTGGTAATCTGGGTGAAGGAATTTACTTCTCTCAGATTTCCACGGCAATGGAGAAGTTGGAAGCATTCGTTAGCTTTGTGAATCAGGTATTATATCATCGTTAACTTTTTAGTGTTTTTTAATCCATTTTCTACCTCAAAATAATGGTTGCCCAATTTGATTCTCTCTTATACATCGAGCAATAGTTTATGGTGTATATATTCTATTTGGTATTTACGCAGTGTCTGTGCACACTGTGTGCATGTGTGGTTGTGCATTGTTATGTCAGAGAGAGAGAGAGAGAGTTCCTTGCCTTGTTATGTAGGAACCATTGAATTATTTGAACATGGGCAGTTATGTTCTTCAAATTTTCATTCCTGAAATTCCATTTCAAGACTGGGGATACGATAGGAAGACCCTCATCAGTGTTGCAGCAATTATACGGTCTTTGGGACTGCTACTTCTGCAGAAAGATTATTATTGAAAAATTTGGTCTCATGTTCTAATTGTCATATTTCCAATGTTTTGAGTAAAGTATAACTTTTTTTTTTTTTCACTTTTCATACTAGAAAACATAACTTGAGTCTTTGGCAACCAGAAAAATTCTGAGGTTGACTTCAGTGCAGGGTTAAATGTTATGGGTTGTTCAGTTGGATTTACAGAAGAGTTTTCCCGTTGTTTCGTGGCTTTGTTCGTTCTGCTCAATTGTGAATCCGCATATACTTATTTCACTTTCACTTTGGCTCTGTATAAAATGACTAAGCATTTCTTACATATAATTTTTATCAAGTGACCAAGAAAACCTCTTTGCCATTGCACTTTGAATCTTCTGTTAAAAGCTGTTGAATACCCCTATGTATCCATTTTAGAGATCAGACTACATCCTCTTAAACAGTATGACGTGATACCTGAAACTTAGAAGAATGATTTCATGGTGAAACTTGTGGCCAAATGTATGTTACTAGAACTATAAGTGGTGTTAATCAAGTGTTTTGCCTTTTACTTCTATAACCAAAAGAAGGTGAATTTTACTTTCATGAAACCCTTGTAGCTGAAATATTTTGTATGAAATAACTCATCCTTGATTTTCAACACTCAGTTAATAACCTGATTTTTAATTCCAACTTTTTGTTGTTGACCTTCTCAGATAATCAGGTCCTCAGGCCATTCATTATTTGATTTTTGAAAATACAGAGTTCCAGAAATTAGGGAGTCACATATGCAAAATGGTTGGTGCATGTTCTGGTTTGGATGGCGCCTCATGGCATAATAACAATTAGACAATGGAAAATGATCTCCCCTTTCTCTCTCTCTCAGATAATTTTACGTTATTTGATTTGTTAAGATTCATAACTTGACATTATGATTTTACTGATTTGTTTTCGGGACTTGGCGTGTGTGTTTCTCGAAACAGGCAGATCATCTTCGCCAGGAAACCTTGCAACAAATGTCTCGCATCCTAACTATCCGCCAAGCAGCTCGAGGTCTTCTTGCCTTAGGGGAGTACTTCCAACGCCTTCGAGCTTTGAGTTCCCTCTGGGCTACTCGTCCTCGTGAGCCTGCCTAGTGATGCCATGGACAAGCCTACGTGTGCAATTCTAAGGGATAGTCACCAAGTGGATATCACTTCAACAACAGTGTGTACCTCGTATTTACATCCAGTATAAACATACATATGAACAAAATCTCAGTTTCTGGCATTTTCGAACCGCCTCCCCTCCCACAATTGGGAAGTTGTAAATATGAATAGCTATTTAATGTAGAGGAAGGTTGTGATTGCACTTCATTTTTTATGCTTGTAAATTATTTTGTCTTCAGAGGACAATTTTGTTGTATCATTTGGAGTCTTTAGACGAAACTTGGTGTAAATCGACAGGTACAATGGTCTCTTCTCATTGTATTTTATCATGTGAATGTGATATGTAAAGGTTAACTGCACCAGGTGAAAGAAATCATGTAGAGAATGCAGCGGAATTTAAAATATTCGGTTCTCCATTTCAAAATCTATTTATCTTTAATACAAATCGAGAAACTTTATATCTATAGTGAAGTTAAGGGTTACTTCTTGAAGCGTATTTTGAGCGATCTTTAAGTTTTTTCAAACAACTTTGAACCTTAAAATTTGATATTTACCATAAGCTTCGTAATTGCTTGGTCTCTATCTGTATCCATGAATTGATAAACTAGAAGGATCTACCTCAACCTTTGATAAAATAGTAGAGAGAGACAATGAGGGGTTGTTTTTCTTGTGCTACCAAGAGAGTTGTTATATCATATATCTACCTCCTACATAAAGGTATTTATAGAGTTTAATGTAAAACTCGGGTAAATTTAAACTTTTCACAAAAGGGACAAAACAGTAATTTGTTACTACGGTTTGATTTGTAAACCTGAATTTTTGTAGATTTCGAATGACGAAACGGACCACATTGTTTGATTCGTCTTGCGAAATCTAGCTATTTCGTCAATTTTCGTCGAATTTTAAGATAATTAAATTTTTTGTGTTTTACGAGACGATCGAGTCTCGGGTGACTCAAAAATGAGATTTTTAATAAAATTTTTAAAATTAGAAAATAAATTGAGGCAAGTTAAAAATGAAAATATTTTGAACTTAAATCGGGACGAAATTTAATCATTTCGGAGCGAAACGGACCTGAAAAAAGAGGGCTGTGTGGTGCGTTGTGGGCCAAGTATTCTAAGGGTATAAATAGGGGAAAAATTTGATTTCTCCCCTATTTGTGTTTAGTCATTACTTGATAGAGAGAGAGAGAGAGAGGAAAAGAGAGAAACTCTACCTTTTCTCTACGATCTACGGATCTTGGGTGTTTGAATCCACTCGGGCCAAGAAGGAAAGTTGTTTCTCGCGTTGTGGACTAAAAAACTATACCAAGGAGGTCGAGTTTGGGCGAGATTTCAAGGACGGAATTTTGGGGAAAGTGAATATTCAAGCTTGTCTTGGGTTCTTTAGGCTTTTCAACATCTTTTTAGGCTTCAAGAGGTAGGGTTCCTTCCTACTAGGGTTTATTTTACAACCTAGGGTGTTTATACGAGATGGATAGGTTGATAGAGATATATATCACTTGCCTATGTTGTAAAATTGATAAAACGAGTATGAAAATAGGTATAGAAATGATTTAAAATAAATTTCTAATAAGAAATTGGTATGTGGTAATTACTTGTTTGATTACATGGAATTTGGTATTATATAGGCATGCTATGTGTTTATATTATGCCTTGTGAATAAAGTGTGTTATTGACATATATTGTGTAATAACATGCTTGAAATATGTTTTTGAAATACAATGTTGATATTTGTTTATAGATATACCGACATTGTAATGAAATTGGTAATTATATGTTGTGGATATGAATTGCCATGAAATATGTATAAATGTGGTAAAATTTGCTCATATGACATTCATTACATATGGGGCATCACATTGATATAGCAATGGTGCATTACATTGAATTTGCACGGAGTCATCGGGCACGAGACATGGGTGTGGGTATGAGTGTGTATATGGTTTGATTAAGCACCATACTCGATGGTTGATGGGTGGGCTCGAAAAAATTGGATTGAAAATCCGACTGAGTCACACGGTTGCATGAAAATTGGGTCGGGATTAGCAAGAAGAGCTAGACTATCTCTCGGGTGAGAGACCCGGTGATCGGATATGTACTTCTGTTGGTATAAGAGCCCGTAAAGTGTGTCGGTATATGCGAAACCGTTGGTGAAAGTTCATAAATTTCGTGTCGGTTGAGTGCCGTGGTGTAAGTCTATAAATACCCACTCCAAGAAAGACTCGGAGATTTTTAAATAGTCATTGGGTGTGTAATGCCAATGACGGGGCTTGGAAAACCAAATTTATACTTATGGCATTACATGGGGGAAAAGGAGCTAGGGAGGGCTCGGGTTGAGTTGCATGAGTGAGTTTCATCTTATATCATGGCATGACATGTTAGATTCCAACATAGACTTGCTTAAATCTTAGTTGGAATGATTATTGCTTGATAAATGTTGCATGTGAGTATTGCATATGCACTTAGGTTGGGGAATAACATCTGTAGGAAATACTCTACTGGGCGTGACTCACCCTATATAGAAAAACATTTCAGATGCGGGATATATGCTGGAGGAAGGCCCTCGCATGGGACCTCAAGGATGAAGAAAGCTGAAATGTGACTTTATTTTGAGATTTTGTAAAAGTGTTATAAAAAAAACTTAGTTTTGATATGTAAATGAATGTAATAGAATGTGTATGAACCTTGTATTAAATGAAAATCTTCATTATACATGTGTTGGATGACAAAGGGATAGGTTAGAATGAGTTGAAAATGCAAAATAGGTGAAACAGGAAAAATTCGACAAAGCATACCGGTAGGGCGTACCGGTATGACGAGGTCTAGTGGGCAACTCATACCGGTATAACTTTGTCCAGAAGACAACTCATACCGGTAGGGCATATCGGTACAACTTTGTCTAGAAAGAAAACTCTACCGGTAGGGATTTTCCAGTAGGCTCACCCTATCGGTATGTCATATCGGTAGAACTTCCAAAAATTTAAAAATTTTAAAACTGTTTTACTATGTTTTTGGGTCATGTGTCCTTCCTTCTAAATGATGTAAATGGACTATAATGAAGTCTAAAATGTGGTACATTGGACCACGATTTGATTAAATGGTAAAATATACACGAGTTACACGTGTGAGTTATAATCCCAGTTAAGGGGGATGTTATTGATGTGACGTTGGGTTGTGCGACGATCACGGGTATTTTCGCGGGTTGACGGGTGGTCAACGGTTGAAATAGGACCCCCGATTTTAGGGGCGTCACAGCTTGGTATCAGAGCATAGGTATGCGATCTACCTAGGGCTTGATGGGCATGGGTCTAGACCATTGCATTCATTATGCATTTTATGCTATGTGCTTTAATATGATACATGTTATGTGTTATATGTTATGTAAATGATATACATGATAAAATTTATATGAAAAAGGGACATTAGGGTTAGAAAACATAACCTTGGGGGTCGGAAAACAATGGGACATAATAGTTCTAGGTGTAACGGTCTACTAGTGGGTGACATAAACTCTACTAGGGGGACAAGGAGATGAATCTCAACGTTTAAAATTAGGTCCATATCTTGGGATACTAAATTGGCGCTCTATTACTATCTGACATATGTGTAGATGGTAAGTAGATGAAGAGGACGTCGAGGTGGTAGGTGGAACAATAATTAACCACCGCTGGTCATTGATCAACAAGCCTTCATAGAGGCTATTGGTACTACAGCTGTTACAATTGCACAGGCTAGTGCAAATGTGGATAAAGGAGGCACAGGTAACCTCCAAAAATTTAAGGCGCACAAGCTTCCGATATTCAAGGAAGGGGCAGATCCGATGGTGGCCGACCATTGGTTCCGGCAAGTTGGCAAGATTTTAGAGGCAATGAAGATCACCTCCGATACCATAATGATAAGACTAGCTGCATTACAGCTAGAGGGAGAAAGCCCAACTGTGGTTGGAGTGGGCAAATACTTTCCAGCGGCTGCTCGACATGCAAAGACCCAAGAATTTTTGGATTTGAAACAAGAGACGATGAAGGTAATGGAGTATGTGGCCAAGTTCATTGAACTAGCCCGTTTTGCTGATGATTACGTGGCCACGGATATGGCCAAGGTGAGGAAGTTCGAGGATGGTTTGAAACTATCCATCCGGGGGAAAATTGTAGGCCTCAATTTGTAAGATTTGAACTCGATGGTCGAGACAACTATGACCATTGAGAGAGAGGTTGATGATGCAAGGAGCATTCGGGAGTCAGGTGCTAAGGACAAGAAGAAGGAAGGTCAATCCTCTTCTTCTAGTTCAGAAAAGAGACGGAGGATTTCTGCTCTATAGGGACAGGACCGTAGCCATTAAGGCCAAGGCAAAGATTGATTCTCCCAAGGCGGGGGAAACCCCAGGACAACTTATCAGGCCGGTCAACGGACAAGTTTCCATTGCCACCAGCCAGGTCATATAAAGCGGGATTGCCCTTAGAGGTAGGGATCCCAATGCTACGGGTCATCTTAGTCCCAATTGTCGGTGGGGCATGCACAGACATATTTTATTTCTCTCTACCCCACCATGGGCCAAGGAAGCCAATATTAGTTCCAGGGTGCTACTTAGGCCCCTACCACTTCACGAGTGGGGACTCCGCAATTAGGCCAGATGGGCCAGGGTATGGGTCGAGACCAAGGACAGGACATGCAGGCTGGGACTTCGGGGACCCAGGGGCGTGTCTACGCCATCATACCTCAGATTGAGCCAGTGGATTAGTCGGTCATTCAAGGTATATTTCTATTCTCTCGCTTATGGGCTAGGGTGTTATTTGACTCTGGTGCATCGCATTCATTCATATCTACATCATGTGTGAAAGATTTGGGCTTAAAGGTTGATACCTTGGAATAGCCATTGTATGTGAATTCACCCCTAGGAGCTAAGGTGTGTATTGATTAGATATGTCGGAGTTGTGAGTTAGACATCTTGGGGATTTTACTCACCGTGGACCTTAGGGTCATGGACATGTCAGAGTGCAATGTATCCTCGGGATGGATTGGTTGGCGGCACATCGGGTCGTCATTGACTGTGATTGGAAGAGAATAACTGCTTATACACTGGACGGTGTTTGTTTCAAGTTTCAGGGAAAAAATATGAAGTTTTGTTCCAATCTGTGTATGACTCCCGTTGGCATGGGCAATTGATGGGTTGGTTTGTGAGCCTTACCTTGGAGGATGAGGTGAGACAAGAGTTGGGTCTACCTCGGGTTGTGTGTGAGTATGAGAATATTTTTTTGGACGAACTACCTGAATTACCTCCCCATAGGGATGTAGACTCCAGCATTGAGTTGTATCCCGGTACATCGCCTGTTTTTATGACTCCACATAGGATGTCGCCAACTGAGTTGCAAGAACTCAAGGTCCAATTGC